AACGTTATGGAACACATTAATTAACTGAAAAATGTTGCATAGTGTGCCTTTAACAGCCTTTATAAATGAATAAATTTATAACTAGTACATTTCTCAATAACATTTTATTTGATCTCCTTTTTTTTAAATTTTTTTTCAAAGTTGCTTTATTGTGATGGAAGTTATTTTTCCCACTGAATTAAATCGGGTCTTCATTTTAAGGCACGTCATTGTTTTATGAACAGCTGATTGGCCTCTGGGTGGAGCACTTTCTAGGATTAAGATCAAATCTGAAAGCTAGCCTGCCTCGGAGCAGGTTTACCATTCAGAGTACGTTACCATGGTGACTAGCTTCGCTAAGAATGAATCCAGCTTTGTGGTACCGGAAAGTCGGAGTAAACCCTTAAGTTGTCTCGCTAACCCAGTAAACCTGCTTCGTGCTACAGGCCTCAGATGTGCTCCTGCTTACGGAGAGAAGGACCGAAATCTAACAATAGTTGATTAGAAAACCTGTTGCTGCTCCAATAAGCATAGATTTCAGCTATGACCTCAAGGCGGTCGGTTCAGAGTTAAGCATAAACATTAAAACCCGGATCCACCCTGCCTTGATCATCATGGTTAGTGGATAGCTGGAATATGTCGGATTGGTAAATGGCTTAGTTGGTGTCTGAGTAACAACAGAGCTTTGTTTAAACAGAAGGCGACCCCAGATGTTATTTCTGAACATGTCCATTTCTGTCTAACCATGTTCTGATGGCTCATTCCATCACTGCACTGTGTCGCAAAGCATCTGGACAGGAACAATAAGTTGACTGTACTGCTGTGGCCTGCACAGTCACCAGATTTAACTAAAAGAAAGCTATTGGAATGTGGTTCAGCTGACAGATAAAGAGGCAGCTTAAGATGCCTAACCACAATCTGCCTGGTGGAATCGTTATCATCCTGAATAAAATTAATGTTAAGAATCAAGGTTGCTCCTTGAGGCTAAAGAGGTCAAACATCGCAGAAGCAAGGCATGACTAAGCTTGCTGATGCACACAGTAAAAAAAAAGGATAAAAACAAATAAGGATAGGATAATTTGCATCTAAAGAAAGATGTGTTCATATTTATGCATACAAATAAAAACGGGGTGCATGAAATAAAAGTTAAATATGTGGTTAAGAAATTAATTACAGAGAAAAATGTGTGGTTTATAGTATGACTTAATCGGTTGAAACAAAATATTAAAATATAAAATAGCTTTTCGCTGAATACATACATGCATGAAGTTAATAGGAGACCTTTTTGTATGATCTGTTCTTATCCCCCAGGAGCAACCATCAAACGCATCCAGCAGCAGACTCATACCTACATCGTGACTCCTAGTCGGGACAAGGAGCCGGTGTTTGAGGTCACTGGGATGCCGGAGAACGTGGACAGGGCGAGGGAGGAGATAGAGGCGCACATCGCCCTCCGCACCGGCAGCTGTGGGGGCGTCGAGGCCCCGGGCGTGGATAACAGCGATTTCCAGTTCAACGGCACAGATGTCAGCTTCGAGACCTCGGCACACTCGGCCGGTCTCGGAGAGGCCGGGTGGCTGCATGCAGGGGCGTCGTCACCGGGGGGCGGAACCTTGCTGCCGGTCAGCGTCAGTGGTACTCAGAGGGGCAACAGCAATATCAGCAGCGCTGCCAGGATGTCTTCCACCTACCGCAACGACAGCTCCAGCTCTCTGGGCAGCGGCTCCAGCTCGGCCGACTCCTTCTATGGTGGCGGGAACGGGAACCGGATGGCCGATTTCAGCCCCACCTTCCCCTTCAACGCCAATGCTAACAACAACAACAACAGTACAAGCAGCAGCACAAGTTTCTGGTTTGGCGACAGCCTCCTGGGCGTGGGCTCTGAGGAGCTCTTCAGCCTGGGAAGCGGAGCCTCCTCTTCAGGATTTGAGCCGTTAACCATTTCCACTGCCCATACCTCGCAGTCCGCTGCCCCACCGCACATCTGGAGCCCCTTCGTGGACCAGCAGTCACTTCAGGCCTTTGACTCCCTGCAGTCCCAGGTAAGAGTTTCTGCAGACGAGGCTTCAAATGGCTTTTAGATGAATAGTTCTGGTTGTCTACAGACTGCTGCTAATTTCTGCAGACCAGCCAACCCGGCACCCCCCGCCTCTCTCCAACCTTTTCGGGGACCGACGCCTTGGAGCACCCTCAGGCCCAGCGTGTTTACCGACGGCCTTTCGGCTCAACAGGAACGCTCGACGTCCACAGGATCCCCTCCTACAGCTCTGCCTTCTCCTCCTCCTCCAGTGAAAGCACCACCTCCTCCTCGCCTCCCGAGTCCTCCTTCTCCTATCGACCAGGAATTGGATTGTCCGGGAGGAGCCAGGAGATCTGCATCCAGTGTATGGAGAACCAGGTGACCGCTGCCTTGGTTCCTTGCGGCCATAACCTGTTCTGTCTCGATTGTGCCACACAAATCTGCCAGGGCCCGGAGGCCATGTGCCCTGTGTGTCTGTCCCCAGCCACGCAGGCCATTCAGCTGCGTAACATCTGATTAGTTTTATTTTTTCCCCTCACTCCTGGCCCCCAGCGTGTGTTGGATTTACAAAACAAGACCCCCTGATCAGTATATAGGTAAACCCTCAGCCCAGCCTTTTCCAGGCTGGCATTGGTTTGACAAAGGTGCAGCAAGTGGAAGTGGGATAGGAAAGGTGTTTATTGGGCGTGGGTGATGAGCCCAGTCTTGTGCCTGCTATTGTGAAGTCTTCTTGGTTGAATAAGGGGAGGGCTTGGAGCTCTCTATGTAGCATTGGGAGGATTTGGCTTTTTTTTTTTTTTCTTCCTGTTTTTCATCTTTTTTTCTTATTTAGAATAAAAAAAAATTCTTCCTCATAATTTTATTTTTATACATCAATGTATATAAGAAAAATCTTTTGGCCTTTAGGGTCGACACCTTATTTTTTACATTTTAACATCTCTGATGTTTTATGCTGAAAGAAAAGGAAGTGCGCATGTTTTGCATAAAGCAGGACTTCATATCAGTGCGACAGGAACGGAGACAACCAGGCTCCTTTAAAAGGATAAACGGTTTGAAGTCGTCCAAATTACAGATCCGTTAGTTTCCATAGGTATGAAAGACCTCCCAAGAGGAGTTTTTAAAGCTGAGTCGAACATATAACTGGAACGTTTTAACACTCCACCTTTAGACCACAGGATGTTGCGCTACTTCAGGATCGCCATGTTGCTTTCAGATTATATTTACACCAGTTTCCCCGTAAACTCGTGCCTAATTCCCGAGTGTAAATGTACGACACAGTCTTGCTCAGTTTTTGAAGCAAACTTGTGGCCTTTTTTTTTCTTTCTAAGGTAAAGCCTGTAATTACCTTCACAACACTATATTCATAAATAAATAAAAGAAATCCTGATCTGGGGCTTGAAACAACACAAGCTGACAGGTGGAAGTGGTTTATAGGTTCCTCCCTGCATCTGCGAAACAAAGGTTGTTTTATCCTCTTCTTTCCTCTCATAGTTTTGTTTACATGTACGTATGGGGAAACCATGTGCTGGTTTGCACCTCGAAGGCTAGACACGTCTTTGCAACATTCCTCCCTGGTATCAGTCACTTTTTAATGTAGGCGAGGATTCGTCGTTCTTAACCGAAACATCACCCGGGAGCAAAAACTGGCAAATGTTTATTTTCATTGTTCCAGCTGTGATCGTGAAAAAGTCCCAGTGAAGTATGTACTGGCTGCTTTTGTTATACTTTTATACTTTTTATTTTTTAAAGCCATCTGGAGTGGTCTCTTTAACTTGAATGATTTACTATGACTGCTCCATCCTATGGCTGTCTAGTTTATTCCATTGAGACGGGAATCGCAGATGAAGGCCATCCATTGCTTTTTGCACCTCATCTCCTCAGGCCGATTCTAAAATCCTCTTTATATTTCAACCATTCTAGGAAGAAGTAGATAAACAAAACTCTATAAGGTTTAAGCACAAAGCTCAAATACAGTTAACCTGCAAAAGCATGCCTACTCATGGGTTTCTTTTCACATTTTGTCATGGGATATTCACAATTCAAATCATTGGCATGCATTTTAGGGATAAACCAGTGCAAAGTAGCATATTTTGTTCAAATAACCCAATAATAAATGCTGCAGTTTTAGAGATGGATTCAGGACTGGGACTCTCTGACACAAAGATTGTATTATCTCAAGCATCCATTGTAACTACAGCCGTATTTTGCTGTTGTCCAGCTGTGACATATTCTAAATCATTTAGCAGCTTTTACTTCCTAGTTCTGTTTCAGGCTCAATTTAAATAAAGTTGTGGTTTTAACATGACAAAATGTGAACTTTTAAGAGCCATTAAAACTTTTGCAAAGGATTAAAATCAAGCTTTGCTTCATTTCAGCTGCGGTTAAAACCGAATAAAGATTTTCAGCTAATTTTTTCTTAGTTATGTGCACCACTAAGCACATACTCGTCACACTATTGAGCAGTTTGGACAAACATTCTCTTCTTCCATGCATGTTTTTTTTTCTTTCCTGTTTTGTATTTGTCCATCATTCTCCAAAAGGTACACACATGTTGAAATCATCTCAAGTATTAGCTTTAAACATCAGTGTCTGCAGACATTTGGAAGGAGGGGGAAGCAGCTGGAACGGTTTCACTACAGAAGGTCAATCCTGTTGCTTGCTTTCTTTTTGTGGACGTTGGCCTGCGGTCTCTCCAGCATTCCAGCTGTGAACAGTATTCTTATGGACCCATTACGTTGCTTCAACCTGATCTCTTCTTCCTCTGCATCCTCTTCCTCATGGGGGGGTAAGCTTTGGTTAGAAAACAGAACCAAACAAGATCCAAATGTGCAAGAAGAGCAGAAAAAAAAGCTCCCTGTCCGTCCCGGTTGTTTTAATTCTCTCTACAAAAGGACTGATCATTATTTTTTAATCATTTTCTTTCCGTATGAGGGAATGCAATACATGATTGGCCCTCGGATTATCGACATGAACTTTGACCTTTTTTGTGTATGTATTCTATAAGAATTACTGTTAATGACTGAGAAATATACAGAACTTATTTTTTATTTTGTTACATTTCGTATATACATAAATATATCTATATCAAAATGTTTACAATATTTTAAATTTGTTTCTATTTTTACTTCTATTTTTTTTTTTTTGAGTGATTTTAAGCGAATGAAGAGCTAGAAATACAGAAAACTGTTGCAGAGGGGAGCGTCAGTGCTATCTGCTTGTAGTCTAGTTAGTAGTTTACAGTATTGATGATGATTAATAGTATTGATAGCTGCCGTTAAACCTAGTGGAAAGTGGAATGTGCATCACGAGCATGTCTTCATCATTTACCGCCATAGTAGAACTTCACTGCAACTGTAAAAAGGCCAAGGATTAAAGCTGCCTGTTAATTGTGTACACCACCAAAATTAAGAACGGTATACTATTAAGATGTATCTTCGATTATCTATCTCTGCATACATATTGTTCAAAGCTGTACCTACGGTTCAAAGTATTTGCTAATTTTACTACACTTTTGTTATGTATATGTGTAGAAGGAGTCTTAAGGCATATAAATTCTTCAAATTAAGTCAGGAGTTTAAAGCAGACTATATTTTATAATGGCCTTTTAAGTTATTGCGGCCAAAGCACTGATATTATATATTTGCTGTAAAGAGAATTTTAAGAGTTTTATTTTTCTGATATTAAAGTTACGTAATAAAGACGGTTTCATTTTAAGCCACTTCAGATTCCTGTTGTTCTTTTTATCAATTGTTTGTGTGGTTTTAGTGGCTCCCAGTGGAGACTAAGGATCAGCTTAATGGGACGGAAAATGTGTTTTCATTCTGTTTCACCAGGTTTCATTATGAGTTACTGACATCCTGTCAGGACATCTATTATCGGCCTGCCACCTGCTGATCCTTCTGTGCCTCCGTCTTCTTTTCACACCTTCAACTGTCTCTGTTTTTCTGTTCATGTAAAGCTGCATCCATTGCATTGTCTCTCCATCCATAACCAGAGGCCCATCCATCAATCCATCCATTCAGTTTTATCCTGTTATTGCAGCATTCATTTATATCAGGGGTCGGCAACCCAAACTGTTCAGAGCCATATTGGACCAAAAAAAAAAAAAAAAATGTCTGGAGCCACTAAAATGTAAGTCTTTTAAAAGCCTGGTGTGGGAACAGGGGCTCTAAGTGTTTTAGCCCACTATAAAAAAAGGACTACTTTGGCCGAAATATATAATAAGCATTCATGATTAAATGTTTATCATGGAGCAAATGTCTTATCTGACGACTCTGCTGCACAATATTTGGTGCTTTAAGTTTAAATTCCAATACAGTTTTAATTATTAGATTTTATTGCTTTGAAGTTATAGGAACACAGGTATATTTATTTTGAAGATTTGGAGAGGGAAAATGGAAGAAAGTTCACATACCTGCATAAAAGCGCTACCTGTTCGGCCTGTGAACGATTTTCCATGATTGCAACAAAACTAGCAGCAGTACTGGAGTTTGGAGATGCAATCCACTTCTTAAATCTATATTTGTGTTCCTCTAATTTATCAAGAGGTTCTGCAATCACACTTTTTCTCTGCCTCCCAACTTGGTGGTCGGCTGCATATTTAGGAATCCTTCCCTGGAAATACCTTTCCAAATGAATCTTTATTTGACAACCTCTCATTACAAAGCAAAAATGCAGGCAATCCTGCATTGATAATGAAAGCAAATGATTCGCTTCATTCCTCTTTGAATCCTCTGTTCTCATCAGCTTTTTTCCTTTTTTCTCCCTACCTTATTATAAACCCTTTTTTCCTCCAACCAGACTTTACGAGATGATTTGGAGTTCAGACATGAACGTCTTTAGTACAGCAAACCTGCTGTTATACAAGCCTCATAGGCTTAGTGTTGTCCCATTAAGTCTTACATCAAAGAACACTTTTAAAGTAACGTTAATAGTGTACTCACTTTTCTGAGTCATTGCAACTCTGAGAAAAAAATCCATAGCCATTAAATAGTCATTAGTGTCTTGAGACAATGAGCAATTATAACCATTAAACCAAGATGCATAAAGGATGCCTTCAAGAAACTGAAGCACTGCAGGGAATGTCTGTTTCTGGGCTAGAAAATACAGAAAAACAGAGATCTGTAAAGGAACAGATTGATAACTAGGATTTTTTTTACTCGACAGGAAGCCTCACTAAGTCTAGGTTTTCATAATCTCTGACACCACAGCAGTATTTTAAAAGGCTGTTTTCAGTGCAAGCTGTGACAAAAGCAGAATGGCTTTATATGTGGGTGAGAAGATAAAACCATTCCTGTTTCATGGATGATGAACTCTACCTTACTCTTACCAGTTCAGGATGTAACCAGCCTTTCAATAAGCAATATTTGGTTTCTGCAGTTTCTCCGCTTTTAGTGACATTTCTCCCACTCTACCACAGTTGTCATAGCAAAACACCACCTCCCTATTTTCATGTAACTATCTAGAGAACAGAAGCAGACACTCTAAATACGGCAGCCCTCAGAGGGATGTTATGAAATGCAGGTTGAAGCATCATTTCAAAGGCTTCAGCTGAAGCTCTGATATAAAAAGCCACATTCAGGGAAGAATGACAAAACGGGACATCATTTGGAGAATAGCCGTCCATATTTAATTGTAGAGTCTCACATGAGAAATACAGGTAAAATTCAATCAGTAATAGTAGTCAACATTTACACACCAGAGCAGTCTTTTGGCTGCTACAATAACGCCAAGTCATATAAAAAAAAAAAAAAACATTTTTCCACCTTAAAAGCAGTTTAGAGTTAAATCGGACTGAAGTTTTCTGCTGTGAACCAGAAAACGCGTCGCCTCCTGCAGCGCCACATGACCAACCATCAAGACTGAGACACACTTTCCAAACGACACGTCTAAAAGTTACAGCGACTAGTTTCCATCCGACAAACCCTCAAAAAGGTCACATCCACGTCAACTGATCGAAACACAGCAAACGACAGGAAACCTCAAAGGCCAAAAGTGCCACAGGCCATAAATAATTTATGTGACCATTGTAATAAGATTAAAAAAAAAAAAAAAATGGAGATCATAGACAGAAGTCGTTTAAAACCCAAATCCAGTCTGTTCCAATCAAAGTCTTTGCTCATGGAAAAACATAACTTAATCTTTTTTTGTGTGTTTTAAATCAGAGGAAATTTAAATAATTAAAACATATTTATGAATTTTACCATTATCATGATCATTTATAATTTACATGACTATAAGCCTTGAATTGCGGCATATTTGACACTTGCAAAAGATTGAAGAAGAAAAATTGACTTTGCAAAGGATAAAAAAAAGGGTCAGAATTAGAAGTTGGAAAATGGTCTGGCTGTTTCTTCTTCTGCCCTCTGCCTGTGAGGACGCCAACATTAACACACAGCAGGCTTCAATTCTGCTGGCCTGTAGATGAGAACTTGTATATAAATCTAGACAACACAGGTATACACATAGATCTATGGAGGACATTGAAAGAAAAAAAGATTGAAAGATGTATGAATGCTTAATGTGAAGAGAGCGAATGAAACCCCAAAAGGTGTCTTAGTGTTTCATATTGATTGACCTGAACACCACGTTCTCTCTTAACTCTAACTTGCACTGAAATTATTCACTGCTTTAGTCCAAGCTAAAGTGCTACAAATAAATCAACCAGAAAAAGTATGAAAATAAAAAATATGTTTATTCCTAGGCACTGAATAAACCTCTCGGAAAAACCCTGGAGCATAAAGTATGAAGGCTGAGTGCAGCGTGATCTCTGAAGGATTCCTATCAGGTGTCAGATATGACCGGAGACAGGAAGATTAAAAGCAGTATTGCTGGACTTTTCCTCTGTCTGTTTACTCATGATTTGTTTTTTTCCTCAAACGGTTCCATCTGGTGTAAACACAGATAAACCTTCATCTTTGTACCGAGATCAAAATCGGCCTCACCTTTTCCTGACTTCTATCGAACAGAGAAAAGTCCTCCTCCTGTAGGGAGGGTGGTATGAAAACAAACGCTTTAACACTAGTTTCTGGGATTCTGATTCCGCTCAATTTTTAGGGACACAATCTGAATGCTGTAGTTAAAGCAACTTGCAAATGTATTCACACCCCCTGGACTTCTCCACATTTTTCATGTTGCAACCACGAATGGTTTCCAGCAAAGTCCGGCAAACAAGTGCATCATATTTTACATTAAAAAAAGATTGCATTCATATTCAGCCCCATTTACTCTGATACCCTTCATTAACACTCAGTGGAAGGGACTGCTGACTAAAACCACTTCGTTAGTGAGAACGAATCTGGTTGGGAAACAAACAGCATCATGCAGATAGAGACACAGAAAATCACTTGTTGTGGAGACTTTTAAAGCAGGTCTGTAGATTTTTAGATAAAAACGGGATGGGGTATGGCACACCTATGAAGACGTGTTAGTCCATCTAAAGTAGCACACCCTGTAAGGAGAGCAATAATCAGACATGGTAACTGGAGGGTTTTCTGAGACAGCTGGACTGTCTCCTTTCAGGTTTTATGGAAGAGTGGGAAGAAGAAACATAACTGAAAGAAGCCATAAGAGGATATTTTTGCAGCATGCATGGAAGCTAGTGAAAGTGGAGGAAAATATGTTATAAAATAACCAATTTTGTATTGATTTGACCAAATATGAACATACGTAAGGCAACTTCTACATTTAGAATGGGATTTTTAATCAGAGATCCTTTTTGCTCCTCATAAAATGTCCATATAAAATGGTCATGTATGGCTGCAACCAAACCAAGTGTAAAAAACAAAGAAGCCTAGCATGAATACTTTAGCAAGAAACATTAGATGCATCAAAACCACCAAATTCAGTTCCTTATCTTCTCTAACAGAAGACCTCCTGTTTTTGGAGTCCTGAAGTTAAAAAAACTAAAACGCTTTGGGGCTGACCTGTACATGTCCAGGCATGTCCCAGCTCCACAGGCTGAGACACTGCATCAGATAAGAGGCGATTGTTTTAGACGTCTACCCGTTTCTGACAGGCAGTGATCGACATGATCTCCATGTTTTTAGCTCCAGGTTAAAGCCTTCTGTAAAACTGACAGTAGAGAAAAAAAAAAAAGCTACGTAGCTCCTGTGTAGATCAGTGAGGTTACTGGAGGTCAGTAGCTGATGTTCCAGTTTCAAACAATCTGCTCCTTTATGTGCATCTTGATATATAAGTTTAATTATCTGTGACAAAGAGTCCTAAAATTAAAGCCATGCATTAAATGTTTAAACATAGTTTTAATAGATGGCTTCTGCTTCCGTTCGTGCCACGAGCGACAGCTGGAGCCACAGTGCACAGATACACCTGAAAACATGGATTTTATTTTCGATTTTTGATGTTTCTACACTCTAGAATCCACTGAGGAAGACTTCTCAGGTGAGAAACCGCTGTCAGACAGCTCTCAGTCCAGAGGCTGGGGGTCTGCTATAGGCATAGTATGAAGAACCTCGTCCAGTAGCTGCAGAGCTCTGTGCAGATGGATTTCAATCCAGCAAGGGGTCTCCTTGATGCTCTGCCGGGGGTAGTCAGGCCCCCAGCCCTTAACAAAACTCATCCTGAGAATGCAGAGCCGTCGGAGGTCGTCCACCCCGATGCCAGCTGCCGCAGAGAGACCTGAGAGCAGAGGGAGGCAGAGTTAGAGAGGATCTGTCTCAGCTAGAAGAACGTTTAAATCAACAAAGCTTGCACGTGTTAATATGGATGCATCTACACTGGAATCTACAGTTAATGAAAACTGCAAATCAGTTTTGGACTGTTAGAACCCAAGCAGTGCATGTCTGATAGCAACAGGAGGACACATCAGTTCCTACATCTCACTAACTCCACCATATGAGAAAAGAGTTTGTTGACATCAGCAACTTAAGTCAACAAGGGAACATTTTTCTATAAATTCGTTACAGATAAGTCTTTATTTCTGTTCCGTCTCTGATGTTTTTTCTGTTCTGCACAATATTAGAAAACTAGTGCATATTGAGAGAGTATCACTTCTACTAACTCTTCTTCTTCTTCTTGAGTTTTTATTATTTTTTTCCACCATCGTATCAGGATGAGCCACCTGTCCTATACCTGTCCTACTGGATGCACTGACAGCAATGCAGATATATAACCGCATTATCTTCATTCAATTAGATCAATTCAAACTTTAATAGGAATATTTTGAAGATCTTTCCCCAGAGTGTTTGTAAAAAAAAATCAGAGGATTTAGAAGTTATTACTAAAATGTGATGAGCGACAGCAGAGCTGAGAGGGTCACTTTACAGCAGTGAAACAAACAACTCTATGTTAAGACCTGTTAAAAAGTTTATGTAAAAAACAAACAAAACGTTATGACACATTGCTCTGTTTGTAATGAACCTAAACGAGTTTCCCTTTTTCTATTAATAATCAATGATATTCCAGTTCATGTGATGCAATTATAAATCTATAACTGACTCCTATTCTCAGCTGGGAACCAACCAACACCACAAACAAAGGTTTAAATTAGCAGTCTCTGCTTCTTACTAATAGCTGGAGCTATTCCTCCCACTGATCCAGGACCAGGGATGTTCCCCGCCACGGCAGCAGCTTGTGCAGCTGCCGCCGCCTGAGCCGTGGCGGCCTGCTGCTGCATCTGTCTGTGGCACTGACGCAGGTCAAACACCTGGAGGGACAGGGAAACGCCGCTGTTTTAGATTCGACTGATGAGCCAACCTGCGGCATGGGGAAGCCCGTGAGCTCACCTTGATGTAAGCACTTGGGTAGATTTTGTGAACGGCGTCTCCTGGGGCTCGGCCAGCTTCTCTGTCCAGGTAGTAGCTCTGAACAAACACGGCGTGGTCACTGAGGCATCGCACCCACACGTCTCCCTCGCCTTTACACTCCAACTGGACTCCTTTACCGATGTGAAGCCTGAGGGAAATCAAAAAATAAATCGAAAAAGACATAAGAATGCCAGGATAAATTCAAGTGCACAAACGTCGTACTCTTCCTCTAAAAAACGCTCAAAGGTTCGGCTCTTTTGACCTTAATTTAAAAATTTCAAATTAAAGTGGAAGGAAGACATGGATGGGAAAACACAAGAAACAAGACAGGGATGGAAAGAAAGAAGATGAACAAAAGGATCTGAAGAAAGAAAGATGCAAAAAAATATGCAAAGAAATACATCAGGAAGAAATAAAAAAGAAAGGACACAAGGAAGAACAAAGAACCTAGAAAATAGTGAAATTCAACTTTCCAAGGCTCTGTAGGAACACCTGGGCGTCTCCGTTGGTCCGGCTTACCTTGCTCTCTCAATAGCCTCAGTGCGATGGACGTTGCTGAGTTGGCCCAAACAGAACCGATCCCCTCCTGAAGGGTCCACATAGCCGTCCACCGTTACAATGGGGCAGGAGGACGGCACTTTAAACGTCTCCCCAACCTGAACGTCCATCTCAAAATAAGCGATGGAGCACCAGTAGTCAGGCGCTGAGGGAGAAGATGGGACACGGCGGCACGTTTATTGGATTCATATAAAAATATTAACCCAGATTATTTAGGTTCTAACATCATTAGGTTGGAATAAACAAAGAGCTAGCCAAGGCTGTAGAAACAGGTGTTTCTAAAGCACTTATTCTACACCGAGCATGCTCTGTGTTATGGTACCTGGGTGATTGGATATAGGAGGCTGAAAGGCGAGCTCGTTGTGTACTGGCCCTAAAAGGAGCAAAATACCGTCAGTTATGCATAGATTTACACAGCAAATGCAGATAGTGACTGATGATGCACTGATCCACTTTTATTTTTTTTCTTCCGATACTTGAATTTTAGCATCCGCAGATCCAAACATTTTGCAGCTACCAGGAGGTCTGTCTGCTTTAAGGTTATCATCATTTGTTCCTTTTTTTAGGAGGGTGTCATAAACTCCTCTCAAAAAGCAGGTGTGTTAAGTATGAATAACGTATGTAAATTCCAAAAGGCAGTTTAAGATTACCATAAGAACAAAAAAAAAAGAAAAAAGAAATACAGTAAATCTGTAAAAAGGATCTTAATGACACTGTAATTGGCTCTATTAAAGAAATCAAACACAGATGCTGTAAAAGGGTTAACTTTTCCGCAGTTCAAAAGATTTTCTTTAACTCAAATTTATCATAGAAATTGCAACTAACAATTATTTTGCAAATCGATTAATTTGTCGATTATTTTTTCAACTAAACCAATAATAATCAGATTCTTTATGAAATTAAACCAGGTGAATCTCAAACTTTTCCACTTGAGGTGTTCTGGATAGAGCATTTTGACAGAAGAAAACATTTTTTTTACCTGAAAAGCAAAATGTTTGTATATTTATATTTTTTTTCTTACAATTTTGGTATAATTACTGCTCTAAATGGGTTTCCCTGTCAGTTAAAGGCATGTTATAGAGTCTCTATACTCCAGTCAACAATTAATCGATTACTAAAATAGGTGACGATTATTTTGATAATTGATTAATCGCGATTAATCTGATTACTTGTTTCTGCCCTAATAGAAATACACTAAATAGATCAGATGATATTGGATCAGTGCATCTCTGGCTATCAGGGCAAAGCTTCAGTTTAAACTTACAGTAGTGTGCTGGATGGGGCATTGGGGGGTGGTGCTGCAGGTGACCGTTGGTGTGGTGAGGTATGCTAGGGGGGAAACCGCTGTTCCTGGACCAGTTGGAGCTGGCACCTGGATGGGACAGAGAAACAGAGAGACAAGTGATATACAAACAATTTACATTTGCAGGAAGATCCAGGAGAATGGTTTAAAAAGAGCCTTACTGCCTGATCCTGCAGGGATGGCGGGAAAGGACTGTGATGAGGCAGAGGGGGCCGCCTCAGAGGGCGGGAGCAGGCCGGGGGGCGGGTAGGATTCTGACTGAGGTGGGCGACTGCTGGATGGGGGGTGCTGGATGGTCTGGAGAGAGTGTCCACCATCCACAGAGGGGAGACTTGGAGGCCCGTCAAAGTCGTACTCATCCTTTACGATCAGCGACGAGCTGGGCCCAGAGCCGGTTAGGGTGAGCCCAGAAAGGTCTGAGGGGCGGAGATCATAGAAGTTATGATACTGACAAACATGGACGGACAGCAGAAGCTGAAAGTTAAACTGTTAACGTTTAAACTACAGCAAATGTTACTAAAAAACAGCATTTCCTCCTTTTAATATTTTGCCAAGTTCCCAGAAGTATGCAGAGAGAAAAAGAACAGAGTTTAATGGAAAGGGATACAATCAGAAGTTTAGCCATCCTTTACATTAATGTCCCTGTTGACTTCTAAACAAAAAAACTAGAGGGCATCTCAAATCCAAACAGTGTCAAAGTTTTCCCATGTGTGGTAAGAAAAAACTCCAACAAACGCTTATCAATTTCTTTGATATATGAAAAGACTGGATGCTTTTTTTTTCCACTGGGCCTTTCATGGCTACCTGTAGCTATCGATCACATCGCTGCAGCAGAAATCAACTTTAAGCTGCAGACCCTAACCCTCTCACTGGTCAGTCTTTATCTATATATGTTTGCTTCCTATATACTTATGCTAATTCCTGTCCAGAACTTTTATTCATTATGACAGAAAATTGGATTCAGGCCTAAAAGGTCAAAACTAAAACGGGTAAAAATGCTTTTGAGTTTTCAGCCCCTGAAACATTGAAAGAGACACAGAAGCAATTAAAGTTAGCATCGTTTCTCACCTCGGTGCAATTTAAATGACACATTTGTATGTTTTATGCCGCTCTAATGGCCAGGTCACTTTTAAATCTTAACAAGTTATTTTCTTGGCTAAACAAAGCAGACAAGCATTCAGCCTTAGGGCTGAGATTAAGTGACGCAACTTAGAGAGCAGCTTTAAGGGAATATTAGAGAAGATGTTCCCTTCAACTGTTTTAGTTTATCGTCTTCTAGGTGATTTGGGCCCTTTACCTTTAATCGCAGATGGTTATATTTGGATACGGCTAGATGTTAAACTGATCCCAAAGAAATCAAAACTGTACTAAGAAGAAATCAAACAAGCTAACACTACTATTTCATACTGTCATCTAAAGGTTCTGACTTAAAAAGCAGGATCTGTGTCAGGAGACACACCAGTGAGCTTTCTCAATTCTACTAAATATTTAAACTTCATGCCCAAGATAGTTCAGGTGACTTGAATTGTATCTGCAATGTTTCTCCTCAGCATGGTGATCTTCTCGCTGCCGTTACTCACCTATACCAGGAGACACCACTCGTTCATAGTGGTAGGGGTTGACGCACACGCTGTCGCACTTCAAATCAAAGGCGAACTGGCAGTATTTCACGTGCTTCAGTTCATTCTTGTGCAAGTCCGGCCATCGCCACAGCCGGGCGTAGATGACATGAGGGAAGCCTTTACGTCCAGCAACCTGGAATCCAATTATTTTGACAATCAGAGACAATCATTAACAAATTGAACTAGATGGGACTAATACCCAGCGCCTCGTCCACTACCTGCAGCCGTCCGTCCAGAGTCCTCTGGATGGTCACACACTTGCTTGGGTGGGCGCCGTTTGTGGTGATGGCGGTGATGAGGGAGTCCAGCTCATCTTTCTTCTCCTTCAGCTTCTTCACTAGGCTCTCGATGGCCCGTTTTGCAAACGTCTCACTCTCGCCGCCCTGCCGGTGACACATCAGGCTGTGCACAATGCTCAGGCAGGCATCGTTGCTCGTGGGTGTGCTGGCGATGGACATATTCGTCGGCGCTTATTTTTTAGCTGCACTTCCTGAGAAAGAGTTGGGACGTTTGTGCAGACGGCTTCACATCATCCTCTGAGCGTCGATGACGATGAACAGGGCTGATGAAATGCAACTCATGCAATAGTTGTTGGAAGTTGGGCAGCCTCAGCTCTCTCAACCTGCAGGGAGAAATGAGACAAAATATATAAAGAAAAGCAGAACGCAAAGCAGCTAGAAATTTGAGCGTTAACATTTTGGTTTTTGCTCTATTCTTTCCATGCAACTTTTCTACTTTTTAGAGTGATGTTTGGAAAAATTAAGCAAAATAATTTGCTGTTCTGTTTTTGTAATCTATGATATATTTTACCACTAATGGCACTGCTGCATACACTGTTATTATATCTATTTGTGTGTTTAATATTTCCAGTTAAAAATATTAAACTTCCCTCTTTAGGGACAGATAAGGAAATACTGGAACACCATTCTATTCTATCATGTAATCAGTCAGAAGCCTTTTTAAAGCAGATTCCATCTAGAAAGCTATACTTTTACAGCTTTTTTTTATTTTTAGAGAGTGCTTAAAGGTAAACTATACTTTTCCAGGATGTGTAGAAACAGTGGAGCCACTTAATTCCAGCATCAAATGGATTAAACTAGGGGGAAAAGTCTATTTATGTTTTGCTGCACAATATAATTATTACGAAATAAGCAAATAACAGTTTTATGTTAAGACCAAGAGACGAGCAAGAAGCAAGAGCTTTTCTTTAACAGTTTTTGATTTACAATATTAATGGAGACAACCCTGGCTCACCGTGTAATAAATGAAAACACCCGAATATCTAGACGTAAACGAACTAAATGCTGTTTCTTTCTCCTCGGTGAAGCAAAAGTTTAGGCTCCTTTGCTTACTAGCGGCGCCAGTCTGGCTGGCGTTTGTTAGAGGAAGGAGCATCAAGCTACTGTAAACAGCGAGCCCTGACAGGAAGTAACAATAATACCCCTTCAGAATAAAAGGTGAAACATTACTAACAACACTTATAACAGCCCAAAACTTTATAGATAAATTAAGCTCATTTGTAAGGCTAAGGTTTGAAGAAAAAGAATAAATAAATCCTCCTTTATTGTACTTGTAGTTTTGATGTGTTAATATGATTTATTCCTTTTTCCCCAACAATAAGCTGTTAAAATCCACATTCCCGCCATCCAACTCTCTTAATCTATAAAGATATAATACTAAAAGTGAAATACTCTAAACTATTTCACTATTAAAATGTAAATCAGTTCAAAATGGACTGTTTAAATAGTGCGCATGTCAAACCTTTAGACTTAGGATCACAAAAACTGTAACTCTAAAGATATATTCCAGCATGAAATTGAATACAATGTAAATAAAGTGCAAGGTATAAGTATAAGTGCTAGAGTGCAAAGATTCTATTATTTGTATTTAGAAAAACTAAAAATAGAAATTAAATATAAGATGGATATTAATACTAATCAGGATTACCTACATAAAATAGAATAAAAATGCATTAAAAAAACTGCTGTCCTAAAACAGTCACATGTAGCTAATATGCAATCACGCAAGACAATACAGAAATATATTTATCAACATAAACGAATATTTTATATAATTTTCACCGATATGGGTGTGAGACGTGTTACTTTATTTTGAAAGGTGCTACCGGAAATACTCCTTAACACTAACCGCTTAACAGCCTAACTACCTGCTAGGAAAACATCAGCTAGCACATCTGATTGTTGATAGCAGGAAAGCTAAGGGGTTAGCAGACATGTTTTTTTAGAATTAACTCCAGTTCGGTGCACTTATGTTCAAAAACTAACCACTTGATACTGTAGAAAGGGGCTGAATGCTTGATTAAAATATCCCGCGCTATCTGGTATTATCTTTTGATCAATAAATAACAAATAAACTGATTTAAGTACCTGAATCTTGCGGCGGCTAGCAGGTGAAAAACTGCCTGTTTGCCCCAAGTTGCTGTGCCAGCGATGAACTGCGCCGATCCTTTTAACACGCAGGAATATCCAATAATTTCATCCAATATCTCCAGGAAAGAGGAAGGGGGCCCAATTAAAGGAAGTTTTATCTCAACATCCTGTGAAGCAGAGAAATGGGATCAAATCTCAGATTTTTTTGTCAACTCCCACTTTAATTCTCTTATCGTTTCCTTCAACGGCGAGTTGCGCATGCGCGAAACGAGCCACAGGTTTATGAAGCAGTTCAGTAGGGTGATGAGAGATTCGGATCCGTGATCCGAATCTGTTGATGAACTTGACAGTCAAATCCTGATCTGAAAGCTTGATTTCAATGTTTCTTTTTGTATTCTTTACTCCACCTATATATATTTATATATATTTCGTAAATTAAGGTATCCTGTTAATATTTTACGATCAATATACATTCAACCTTGTAGTTTTATTCTATTACATTACTATTTATACATTAAAAGCCCTAAAGTGAACATCAATATTATTTAACAACGCTTATTACCCTACTAAATTTTGTATTTTGTATAATTGATTCTTTTTACAGTTTGATATGTAAAAAAAGGGGGCGGGACTGAAGTTTGATGACATATGAATCTGTAAACTTCCTTTTTTTTCTGCCTATTGACTTTACTGCAGTGTTGGTCTGTTTTTTAAACTGGTGCTTTGAATTTAATAGAATAAAGTCAATCAAAAACAGCATTAAGTTTTATCCAGGTTTCTTACTAACTGACCATGTGAACAAAAGTATGGATTTCACAGTTAATGCCCTGTACTAATATATCATTTGGTGAGTGAAGAGAGGGGACACCAATGCACTTTCACTGCAAACATACAGTGGGGAATGTTTCATTTGAATTCCTCCTGCACAGCTGACGTAGAGAAACATCACAGTGTTATTAAAGCTGCTAATTTCACAGATTATTTCCTCTCTGCGGATAATGAGGCGCTAATTACAGAGTTCAAATCAGCTGCAGCAATATTTGCTTTGAAAGAAAGGGAGGCATGTGTTTATCCTTTATTTTATCCTCTTCGCATTAATGAGAACTCTAGAAGCCTGTAAGCACACACTCTCACATACACACACAGGTTTAAATGCCCCACTGGTTACCAATTTGTACCAATTACAGATGTGCCGATTACCCTCTGACAAGGCACACAGTGATGATTTATTATCAGCTTCAGCAGCTAATACCGATGCCGTGCTCCCATAATTTGACTTTAATGGTCTATAATTTAGGTATTTGTTTCTATTTCCCATTATTTCCCCTTTGAGGTCACTCTTCTTATTTCTTTCTATAATTAATACCCTTCAGTGAGGAATATAACCCCCCCCCCCAAAAAAAAGTACTTGTCCTCATCTTTCATTTGCATACCAGCTATATTTTATTAATATTTTACATTCTCAAATCTATTGCTCAATACTTTTCCTTCTATTCATCTCGCCTGTCTCCCTCTACCATAATGAACAAATGAATTTAATGGAGAATTATTCAGAATTCCCCATACTGACCACCAGAGAGCAGTAAGAACCAGGGCCTGCTGTGAACAGCCTGAATTCAACTTCACTCTTTGGATGTCTCTTGAATGCTCCAAGCCAGTTACTCTACTTCTTTGACTTATTTCTTTCTTACTTTCTGGAGAGGGGTTTTTATATATTTTTAAACGTTTTTACATCCGTGATGTCGAAGTAGGATAGGCTATAATGGAAGTTTTTCTTGTTAATTCTTTTGCTCCAAGATAATAATACTTCAACTTTATTGATCTCACACTAGAGAATTAACTGCATTTAACCCTTCCCCTTGGGGAGCAGTGGGCTGCCATTGTGCAGTGCCCATGGATCAGTGTGTGGTTAAGGGTTTTGCTCAGAGAGCCAGAGTGCAGGCAGCAGGGATCGAACCGGTTACTTGCAACCTTCTCAGAGCACAAGCACACTGCTCTAACGACTAGGCCACTTTGATGTCCCTAGTTTTGCAACTTTTGTGTGAGTGCTCTACAACCTACCCAGTTAAGGAACACAATATAACATCAGTGCATTCAGTCAGTGGTATTCCTGCAGGCTTTTAAGTTGGTGTTTAACTTATCATATTAACAGGTTGGTATTTTATATAAAATTTAGTGTTTAGCTCTATTAATCAGTAAGTTAGGGGGAGTGAAGCCAGTGAACGTAACATCTCCTATATAGAGTTGTTGAAACAAACCCATCCAGTAGTTCTTTGCATTTTTCTACAGTCCATGATGCAGACAGAGCAAACATGAGCTAGACAGCCCTCTTGTCAGAGTAAGCCTACATGCAGAATCTGTGATGGGAAACACCAAGAACGTATCAGGCCTACTGCCAAAAGTGTTTAAGGAAGAATTATATTGGATAAAACCAGGTAGCTGAGGTAGTTCATACTAAATGTATGTGCTAAAATATAAAGCTTTTTTTTCTTTTGCAAGACTTGAAATTACTATTCAGTCACTTTCTTTCAACCTGACAGAGTTTAAGCTAAGTTGACTGATTGATTCAATTACTTTATTGATCTCACAGTCGAGAAATTGACTTGTTACATCAACTCAAATAGTCAAAGAAGAAGAATGCACCAAAGGAAGAAAAAGGTTTCATTGGATATATACAGCATATACAGTGCGTCCACATATGACAGTTTTTTTGTTTTTTTAATAGTAGGATTATGAAACAGGGTGTTTACATGGATATTCATATAGATGAATATTTATGTTTATATATATAGTTATTGCACTGGGTGTCAAATATAGAGAAACTGGTTATTTCACAGTGTATCAAATAGTAATTGCACATTATACATTGCACAAGTTATTGCCGTTGTAGTGTTGCATTGTAGAGTTTGATGGCAGCAGTGATGAATGACCTGCAGTAGCCCTACTTTTTACTAATAGGGTGTAAAAGTCTTTCACTAAAGGGGCTGCTCAGTTCCTCTACAGACTGGTGCAGAGGGTGGAAGGTCTTGTCCATGATGGATGCACTGGAAAAAAAATCAAAATCTGGATTTTTTTTCTTAAAATAAGAGCATTTGTTCTTGGATTGAGGACACATCTAATTATCTGATTAAATATCTATTTATCTTATTTTAAGAGTAAAAATGCAAATTCCATTGGCAAACTATCTCATTTACCTACTTAAATTAAGGGTAAATACACTTCATTTATGGAATTTGTACTGATTACTAGATCATTTTTCCATTGTGTAAGCATGGACAGCACCCTCTTCTCAGCCACTTCCTCCACTGAGTTCAGAGTGCAGCCTTGGACAGAAATGGCCTTTCTCACCAGTTTGCTCAGTCTCTTTCTGTTCCGCTCTGCACTGCCAGGGGCCCAGCAGACAACAGCATGAGGAGGGCTGATGCCACCACAGTCATAGAAGGTTTTAAGCAGGGGTCTGCTGACTCCGAAGGACCTCAGCATCCTCAGGAGGCCGTCATAACGCCATTAGTGTTATGAGTTGCAACAAAGATTGGGCTGGAAGATTTCCATAGTGAATCAAGACGTACCTTTCAACTTTCCATGTTTTTTTCATTACTCAAACCAAAGATGAATTAAGAATGTGAATACCTTTTCAATGCAGTGTATTGTAGAATTCAATTCAAGTGGGATTGTCTAATTGTTGTAACTGATCGACAAGGTTTAACAAATTTTCATCTGGTTAATGGGAGTAGAAAGTGGTTTTGTGGTCTACTCTGGCGAATGGATGGTGCTTTCCATTCATTAAATGGTACCACACTCTCTGCTTCTCCTTGTTCCCTTTCAGCTTTAAACTTCCCTCTCTTCCCTTTGAATCCTAAACACATCACATAAATGGATAATGGATAAAATCTAAAATCTTTCCCCCCCTGCTGTATTCAGGAAATTGTCTTCCCCGCGGGAAGTGGATGCAGATGGTGGGAGGGACTGATGTAAATGGAGAGATAAAAATGGAAGGCTGGCCTAAGAGGTGGAAGGTGTTTAGAAGACGGATGGATTGCTGGTGAACATGAGAGAGTAAGAGAAAGGAGGAGAAAGGAAACAGGGCGGCGCAGGAGAAGAGATGAGTGAGCTGTCGGTTTAGAGATAAATCAGGGAGGCAGCTCGCTGAGGGGGGTATATGTCCACAAACGCACGTACAAACAGATGTGTGTTTTGCGATCACGCTCGAACTCACACAAGTGCAAACACAAACACACACTCTTACTCGCTCGAGCACACTTTGCCCCACGGCAGAGTGGTAAAAGGGCCACGGCTGATTGGGCGCTGCAGGCCAATTTCACCCCGAGTGGCAGAGCGGTGCATGTTGGGATGTTGGGATACAAGCGCAGTTACCCATGAAGGCTTGAGGTAGGTCACTTCTTTTCGCTTCGTCTCTCTCATCCCTCACCTACTTCTCAACCTTTCCCTCCTTTCATCCTCCTCTTGCTTTTTCCTCCCTTCATATTTATACTTTATTCTTTGCCTGCAGGGCTTTTTACTTCTAAACCTCAACCTGCTTGTAGCTCTATTCCTATCAATCCACCTTTCAAACAGAGAGCGTACTCTCCCCAGATAATAACAGCAGCACTTAATTCTCTTCTCTTTCTGGCTCAGTTCATCTCCATCTGCCATCAATTCCTTTAAAATCTCTCTTTTCCAGCTTTACTTGCCCTTAGTCATTTCTCTGACAAGCCCTCCCTGTTGTAACACACACACATGCCCAACGCAGCAACAAAAACGCACACACTTTGGATCCCTGCAGTGTAGTGTGCTAACAGAATAATTAGTCCCGCTTGATGTCTCTGACAGCTCTAATCCTTCTAAATGGCCACCACATGCATCCCCTCATCAGCCCACGGCTAGACACACAAACTGCACTCTTTGAAACTTGACAATGACCAATATATTTTTGGTAAGAAACAGAATCAACATGCAAGCTTCCAATATTTTAGATTCTCATAAATTAATTAAACTAAACTGATATGCTTAATGCATTTTTTTGGATTTCATAAATACAGTAACCATGAAAGTTGTGTGCCTTCTGTTTTTCTCTTGAGGGCAGAAGAGCATTTATACAAGCCAGTCCTTTGACGTATGGAGGAGTAGTGAACATGATTGCACCACAACTTCAGTTCAGCAGGTGGCAGTGATAGGAAATCAAATGCCAAACAGGAGCAAGATGAGCTGCAATTTAGATTTATTTTCTGACTATCTCTATTACA